CACTCTCCCATTCGGCCAGATGTATTTTATATTACTAAAATAATGTGGAAAAGTCACATATGCCCCTACTTAAGTTAGGGACATTAAATCTAACATAAACTTACACATCAGCACCTAAACACAAGCACAAAGACAGAATTACCCCTACATACTCGACACTAACAGTTCCTTACAAGAATAGGAGAGAAAAACATGAAGTCCTAGTCCTAGTAAAACAAAACATAATATGGATAAACATAATAAGGCCAACCGGCCTAGTCTTAAAAGAAAATAAAAAATAACTATGAAATAAAAAAGGTGTGAGTATGGAACCCCACACTCGTGACTTAGTAACTATTTCTTCTCTCCCCCTCAAGTTGGGAGTAGATATTTGTCATGCCCAACTTGCGTAAATCTGTCTCCAATTTGCTTTTTGTGACTGCTTTGGTGAAGAGATCAGCTAACTGCATGTCTGAGGTAATGTAAGAAAGGCATACTTTTTGAGATGCAACTCGCTCTCGGATAAAATGTCTGTCAACCTCGATATGCTTAGTCCTATCATGCTGTATTGGGTTGTGAGCAATATTAATTGCAGCTTGATTATCGCAATACAGCATTAGAGGCCTTTCATAATCAATCTCCAACTCATTAAGCAAAGATTTCAGCCATAATACTTCTGCAACACCATTGGCCATGGATCTGTATTCTGCTTTTGCACTGGAGCGAGCAACAACATTTTGTTTCTTGCTTCTCCAAGAAACAAGGTTTCCCCCCACAAATGCACAAAATTCAGAGGTGGACCTCCTGTCATCAACACAGCTAGTCCAATCCGCATCTGTATACACCTCTAGTTTCATATGACCATTATTCTTGAAGAGTATACCTCTCCCTGGACATCTCTTTAAGTAGGCAAGAATCCTTTCTACTGCAAGGAGGTGGGTGGTCCTAGGAGAATGCATGTATTGACTGACAACACTAACAACATAAGAAATATCTGGTCGAGTTAGGTAGAGATAAAGAAGTTTCCCAACCAGCCTTTGGTACATAGCCCTGTCCTCAAGGAGTTCTCCACTTTCTGCACTTATCTTATGGTTAGGTTCAATAGGAATATCAGCAGCTCTCACTCCTAACTTTCTAGTTTCTTCCAATAAGTCCAGAACATACTTCCTTTAAGAGATGAAAATGCCATGCTTAGATCGAGCTACCTCAATTCCTAGGAAATAGTGTAATTTCCCTAGGTCTTTCACTTCAAATTCCTTGTAAAATGCTGTTTAAGGGTTTCAATTTCACCAATGTCATTCCCTGTTACCACAATGTCAACTGCATAGACCGTAAGTAGAGTCAGGGAATGACCTGTCTTCTTAAAGAAGAGGGTGTGATCTGACTGAGCCTGTATGTATCCGAATTTGTTCAAAGCCAGTATAAACCTATCAAACCAAGCTCTTGGAGACTGTTTCAGCCCGTACAAGGCCTTCTTCAAAAGGTAAACTTTCTTTCCTTCTTCTGTACTATAAAAGCCAAGGGGTAACTCCATGTAAACTTCCTCTTGCAAGTCTCCGTTGAGGAAGGCATTCTTAACATCCAACTAAAATAGTGGCCAGGAGTAGTTTGCAGCAATGGATAGAAGAACTCTGATAGTGTTCATTTTTAAAACAGGTGCAAAGGTTTCTGTATAGTCTATGCCATAAGTTTGTGTGAATCCCTTTGCAACCAATCTGGCCTTATACCTTTCTATAGTACCATCAGCATTATATTTCACTGTAAACACCCATCTGCATCCAACAGGTTTCTTCCCTTCAG